AGTCTTGGCAGGGCTGATTAGGGGTCATTTAGATGCTTATTGTCATCTGATCGTATTTAACCATACAGAAGTTTATATTCTTTTTACAGTTACCACCTCCAAGGGGTCTCAAGTAAATTGCCCTTCTTAGCTTGACATGGTGAAACACTGTGTTACCTCTTTTGCTGGTTCATCACTACAGTCAATTTGTACAGTTGAGGGTTTTATTTATATTTTTTAACTTTTCAGATTTTAAGAAAATTTGGAAGCCATTTGTGGTCTTTTTATAATCCTCAAGTTTTAAGTTTCCTAGGTAACATTTTAGTGTCTCATTTTATCTTTAAGTATATACATAGCCATACCAATCATTGACTAATTTTACTCTTTAACATGAAAGGTTGGAAGTTACATTTTATTTCAATAAAAGTAGTATTAAACTGAAAGGTGATTGATTACCTACATTCTATATTCTGACTTGGGGTTCTTTTAAAATATTTTATTATTTGAAAATTATAGTGAGTCATTTAGAACATCTTCGTTGTAGGGCTTTGTTTACTCAAATCCTTTGTGACTTGGTATAACTCAAGACTACCAGTGAATTATAAGGAAAGTAAGTTAAATTAAAATGTCAGTTTCCTAAATGTAATTACCTGTTTCAGACTATGAAGGATTATTTTAGGTAGCTTTTTATGAAATACTGCAGGGCATTATTATGACATTCCCATAGAAAGGGAAGGCATATAATGAATTTGACAGAGCAATTTGTGGAGTTTTGAATAAAAATGCCATAGAGAAGCTGACATTTTTATTCTTTGCACAGAGAAACTGGGTGTATATATATAATTTTTTTTTTTTTTTTTTTTTTTTTTAAGAAGGGTCTTGCCAGTTCAGGCTGGCCTTACACTCACTGTGTGTCCCAAGGTTGGTATCACAGTCTTGGTGATCCTCTTGTCTCAGCCTCCCCAAGTGGTGGGATTACAGGAATGTGCCATCACACCTGGCTGGATCTGTGCCTTGTAACGATGCTGGTTATTGGGAGTTTGTCTCCTGGCATTATCTTTGGATACTGTCATGCTTCAAGTTGGGCTGTCTAAAATGGTCATCTGGAAGGCCATGTAAACATAGTCAACTCCTCATCATGGAAAAGCAAATCTTAATGAGTAAAATACTCTTCAAGACTCCAGTAAAATCCTGGAGTAAACCTGCTTCCTCATTCATGTATTCTACTTATGGATAATAAATCTAGGGCAGTGACAGTTGCAAATGGCCCACTGTCGTCATCTGGGGCACTTTGCATTGTGTGTACCCAGATGCGGGGTTTATCAAATGTTAGAGTCAATGCAAAGTAGAATATTTTCTTACTGGGACTGGTTACTTCTTTCTGTAGATTAGTTCTACAAGATAGTTTTGAATCTTCACAAGTCTAAAAAAGATTTAGATTTGCTAACATTTTTCTCCTTACTATCTGTACTTTAATAAGATACTCAAACTCATTTTCATCAATTTTTTTTCTTCTAGTAGGGACTGAAGTAACACAAATATCTTTAAATTTTGTTTTCTGTAGACATTTAATTGTGTGCTCTATCTTGTGGTTGATATGGTGATGTATTTTTTTATATTGTGGTACAATATTTTTAGCAGTATTTACTTAACTGTTTTGAAGTGTATGTTTTAGTGGCATTTCATACATTCACATTGCTGTGGTGGAGACATTACAGTGAAGGAAGCTAAGAGATGCATAAGAATTCACATAGAAACTGTTCTAGACCAGAAAATATGCATGTGTAGGAGATATTTATATGTCTGGATAAGTTTTATGAATTTACATCTTCTTAGAGACTATAATAAAAGGTGAATAGAATAGTAACACAATGTATTATCAATTTTCTATTGCTGTGCAACAAATTACCACAAATTTAGCAGCTTAAAAGAAAGCACATTTGTCATCTCATTATTTTTATGGGTCCAGAGTATAGCCACAGCCCAGCAAGGTCTTGTGTCTAGTGTCTCGGAAGATGTTCAAGGTATCAGTTAGAGCTGCATTTCTTTCTAGAGCTCATATTCTTTTTTAAACTTATGTGATTATTGGAAGAATTGAGCCCCTTGTGGTTTAGGACTGAGATTTTCAGTTTAATTCTGTGTCCTTCTGATCAGGAACCATAATTAGAATGGCAAAATCTTTTCACATTTGATTTATAAGGAAGATCTCTTTCTACTCACAGTTCTGCCCATACTTTAAGTGGAAAGGGATTGGGACATGGGTTATTGAGGTTATCTTAGGATTCTGTTTACCACACCTATTTTATCAGTGTATTTCTAGGGCTGAGGAGGTGGGAGCAGTATCCCCTTTCTTCTCCATACCTGTTTCTGAAGTCTTATTCTGGAAAAATAACAGCAGCAAAATCTAATTAAAGAAACAGTGAGACTTTGAGACTTGTTGTATTTGGTGTAATCTCTGTCTCTCCCTTTTTATTGCTACCTCCTATGTTACTGGTATTCCCTGTTCATAGAAAGACACTGGCACTTGATCCAGCCTTCTAACTTTGCACCAGGCACACTACTGTGGATGACTTAAGTTTCTGTGCCCCCCACGTGGAGATATTTCCCCTCTTATTAGAGGAAAGAAAACATTGCAAGGAGCATGGGAGCAAAAGTGACTGTTAGTAAGGCAAAGAGATTATACGAACTTAATGTGCTGTTTACATTATATTTTATAGTTTGTTTTAGTTACCTTAGATACCTGAAACAAATGATTGATTGACTGAGTGATTGATTTTAATGCCAGCCTACCTTAGCTAACAGGTAAGGGACAGGGATCAGGAACTAGAGTATAACCTTAGCACTCAAACAGCTTGATTTTGAGCCCTGAATTTATTTTTACTGTAATTAGCAAGTGAGGAGGTCCTTGGACGAGGAGATGCTGAGGGACTCAGCCCATGTTCTGACCGACCAACTGCCTGGATCCGCTGAGATAGGCCAAATAAAAAAGGTTTCTTTTATCAAGGGTAGGCCCCTTCTTGCAGTATGCTTGGGTTTCCGGGAATCAGTCATGTTCGTGATGTCCTTACCCTTTGGTGACTTGATAGGAACTTTGTCAGAGCCCATTTTTCCTTCCTGTACTTTCTCTATTCTTGACTGTTGTTTTCCTGAGTCCCATGCTAGATTGCATTTGTCTTCCTTGAACATCTGACCTAACTGCAGAGAGGTGTTCCTAAAGCTGCCTCTTCACAAATACTTAGAATTCAGGCCTTGGAAAATCTATTATAGAAAAATTTACTTGCTTTTATGGATCTTTTTGTAATTTTCTCCATAGTTCTTCAGCTTGTCTCCAAGAGCAACCAGTAGTGGTTTGATGTGTTCTGTGTGTAGCTTCTCTCTTTGTGACCCAAGGTGAGGGAGGTTAGGTGCTTCCTGGCAGACTCACCTCTTACTCCTTCAGTCCTTCAATGCTGTTCGTTCTCTAGAAGAGCTGTGGTACCAGCCACTCAGATATGAAGCTAAGTGTAAGTGGATTAAAGTTGATTAGGTCCCCTGTTATGCTGGTCACATTTAAATACTCAGTAGCTACATGTGACTGGTCGTTACCATACTGGAAGTGGAGATGTGGAAATTGAAGTATTTGTTTTTCTTTTGGGTTTTAGCTCAACAACTCTAAGCTAGGACTTAACTGTTTCACTGCTCTGAGACCTTTGGCAGTTGAGTTACATAGTACCAGCCAGTCAGCTTCCTGCCCCACCTGAGGATTTAATGGCGTAGATAAGTCCAGTCCTATGGGAATTTATATAGCTGTTGGAATTATGTACTAGTTTCCTGATCTCGTAACAAATTTCCACACACCTAATTAGCAGCATAAAAGAGCACAGATTTATTATCTCACTATTTTGTTTTTTGTTTTTGTTTTTCTTATCTCACTATTTTGTAAGTTAGAAGTCTATCTGACACAAATTCACCAGGCTAAACCCAAGATGTTGCCTGTTCCTGATCCTTTCTAGAAGCTCCTAAGCAGTCTATTTTCTTGCTCATATCACAGCAGTTTATCCACAGCTATAATTTAAAGGAACACAATTTATAATAGCTAAATCTTGGAAGTAGCCTAGATGTCCATCAGTGGATGAATGGGTAAAGAAAATTAGGTTTGCTGGGTGTGGTGGCACGCACCTGTAATCCCAGCACTCGGGAGGCTGAGGCAGGAGGACTATTGTGAGTTTGAGACCAGCCTGGGCTACAAAGTGAGCTCAAGGCCAGCCTGAACTGCATAGTGAGACTCTGCCTCAAAAAGACAAAAAAGAAAAAGAAGAAAATTAGGTTTTTATGTATACTGGAGTAGTACTCTGCCACAAAAAAGGATAAAATTGACACATTTTTAGGTAAATGGATGCACCCTGAGACCATACTTCTAAGTGAAATAAATCAGACACATGTGTTTAACAAGCATGTTGTTTCTTTTGAGTGAGATACCACAAGTGTAAGTAAGGACCAAGATGGATGATAGATGTGGAAAAGTTGGAAGAAAATGTTCAAATGGGAAGGGGAACAAGGGAGGTGGGGGGAAGGGAAGGGAAGGAGGGGAAAAGGGAAAAGAATAGGAGGGAAAAAATGGAAACAGAGCTTTTGTAAATGGGTAGAGGTTCTGAAAAATTCCTGAATTAACTATTTACTCATATTTTATCTTTTTAAAAATGAGAAAACCTGTACAAAAGTGACATTATTATTATAAATATATGAAATTGAGCAGTTACCATTATTACCAAATTGTAAATACTTTTTATATTTAGCCACTTTTTACCATATTAAACAATTGATCGTTAATTCTTGTTTTTTATTTTGTTTCATTGAAGTCTCTTTTGTTTTATTGGCATTATATAGATTTCCACTCTCATTTTTAATTCACTCTGTAAAAGACTACATGACAGTGATTGTAGATTATCATCTTTTAAACATTGTGCAGTAATACTGTATCTTGCAAATACATTATAATTTTTGGGACTGAATGTACCATCTTTTTATCTTTATTTCATTAGCTAAGAAATCTTTCCAGCTTGGACCTACGTCACATCACTGAACTGGACAATGAAACTGTGATGGAAATTGTCAAGAGGTGCAAAAACCTTAGCTCTCTCAATCTCTGTCTCAACTGGATCATAAATGACAGGTAATCGCTGGGAACGTCTTAAGAATTATTTTTTTCTAAAGGAAAATATAGCAAATACTAACAGCATTTATAGCAGGGTGTGTCAGCATTTAAGTAAAATTGAATGCAGCTTTGCTTTTTAAAATTGATATGCTTAAGATTTTCATAACTTAAGAACCTAGACATGTACTTTCGTTTTCAATGCTGGGAATTGAGCCCAGGATCTTGGGCACGCTAGGCAAGCGGTCTACCACTGAGCTACATCCCCAAGTGTACATGTATAGTTTTAATGCATCCGCTGCTTATAAGTGTAGCAATATGTGTTGAAGCAAATATATGTCTACATAATTATGACAGTAATAGTCCACTATAATAATAGTAGTCTGTAAAAAATTTTTTTTGTTACCTACCCAGGATACATTATTTGTCTTTATGTTTTTGCTACTTTTGTTGTTGATTTTACTGTTCACTTGTTGAGGAAAGTGATTATGAAAAACTATCTCAAACCTTATGCATTTAGGACTTTCCTTGGTGGTCATCTTTAGATCTTTTCTTCATGATTTTGTTCTCTGTATAAATGTACTTTGCTTTGGAAATGGAAGTGATATGATGAACAGTTTGATATATAGTGTTAAAATGTCGAAAATACGAAACTTTTCTTATAAATAATGTTAGGCCTATTTTCTGGAATTACTGCATGAAGGAAGAAAAATTACAGGAATATTTTTCTAGGTAGGCCTTTAAAATAAAAACAGTGGCACAGTACCAGTGGCACTACTGATTAGTTTAGGTCAGTTTGTAAACATAGGCATGAGTCAGAATTCTTTCCTACCGAACTTACAGGAATTTTTTTTAAGATAGGTCACGAAAAAGACTTGTACTTTTAAAATAGAAAGTAGTATTCTAGCTAAAATTAGAACCTTTATAGATTGAAATACATTTTAAATAGGAATTTAAGTTTTAGATCAGATACTGCTTTAAATAAAAAACTCCACTTTTCTTTTTTAGACTTTAAAAATACAATCATATATACTGCATTTTTCTCTGTTTTTTATACTGGACTATATATACTAACTAGACCACTAATTAGAATTATCTAATTCTAATGATTTTTTTTTTTGGTTTGCCATAAATTATTATTATTTAAATTATATAATAGTCTTGACTTGATTCTTACTTAGTAAAATTTTCTAGATTTTACTTTGCTACTTATTTAAAATTTTTATCATACTGAATATAAAATTTGCTCCTATATATAAATTTTAACTGATTTATAAAAGTTATACATATGGAGTACCTTATGATGTTTCAATACATGTTTACATTATGTAATTTTAAATCAATTTAAACATGTCTATCTCTTCAAATATTTATCCATTTCTTAATGGTAAAAACATTCATGACCCTTCATTTAGATTTTTGAAATATACAGTATGTTGCACTTATTTGTAGTTATTTACTATGAATTACACACCAGTACTTATTTTTAACTATAACTTAGTACCTATTGTTGAACGTTTGTCATTGATTGATAATATTCTCAACTTCTGTGAGATCAGTGTTTTTAGATTCTATGTAATAAGATCATCTAGTATCTGTCTTTTTATGTTTGTCTAACTTCACTTAACATAATGATCTCTAGTTGCATACAAATTACAGTATGCATCTGTAGTAATCTAGTCTGTACATGTACTGAATAGATGAGTAGTAATCTATTCTGTACATGTACTGTATTTTGTTTATCCATTCATCCGTTCATGGAAACTTAGGTTGGTTCTTTTTGTTGGCTATTATGAATATGATGCAATAAATGTGGAAGTACAGATGTGTCTGATGATTTCATTTTCTTTGGATATATACATAGCTGTGGGATTGTTGGATCATATAGATGTCCTATTTTTAAATTTTTAGGGAGCCTCCATATTGTTTTCTATAGTGACTGTACTAACTGACATTCTTACCAATATTTTGTAGAGATTCCCTTTTCTCCACATCTCACCAGCACTTGTTATTTGTTGTTTTCTGATGTAGTTATTCTTCCTGGTGTGAAGTGATGTGTCATGTGGTTTTGATTTACATTTCCCAGATGATTAGTGATGAGCATTTTTAATGTCTCTGTTGGTCATTTATATGTCTTCCTTTGAGAAATGTATATCTAGGGTCTATTGCCTATTTTTAAATTGGGTTATGTTATTTAATTTTTTTTTGGTATTGAGTTAAGTCCTTGCATATTCTGGGTATTTATCCCTTGTTCTGTAGTTTGCAAATATTTTCTCCCATTCTGTAAGTTCTTCTCACTGTGATGATTATTTTCTTTGCTCTGCAGAAGCTGTTTAGTTTTATGTAATCTCATTTTTGTAATTTAGCTTTTGCTTTCTATACTTTTGGGACCTTGTCCAAAAAATATTCACTCATTACAATGTTGTCTTGGTTACTTTTTTCTCGCTGCTGGGACAAAATACCTGACGCCCAAAATTAAGGAATGAAAGGTTTATTTCGCTTACAGTTCGTGGAAGTTTCAGTCCATACTTGGCAGATTATAAGGCAGAGCGGCACATGGCAGAGAGCTAGCTCAGGGCGGCAGAACACAGCTAAGCCGCAAGCACACACCAGGGCAGAATGGGGGAGGAATGTCTTCAAGCACCCTTTTCCTCTTCCTTACATATGCAAACTATCTACCCCAGGGCTGGTGTAGCTCTCATACCCATAATAATCGAATTCTAAAAGCCTGCCCTGTGTCACATGAGGCTTTGGAGGGGACACACAGACATAAACCACAACAAATGTCATGAAATATTTCCCTTAAGAGTTCTTCTTGTGGTTTCATAGTTTCAGGTCTCATGTATAAGTGTTTATTCCCTAGCTTTTTATCTTGAAAAATTTACTAATGTTTCAGATTTTTATATTTTCTTCAAGTTCACTGAAGTACTATGCATATGTGGTTATCATTTATGAAAGGTTTGTACTTTTTAGTAATAGTCATTATACAAAGTATTCCAAATCTAAGGAAAATTTATGTCAATTTAAAAATTTATTTTTTCTATATACCAGTAATTAATATGCTCCTGTATAGACAATTGTATGAAAACTTACAGTAATCTCTATGAAGCTTTTCATAACAAATAATAAAATAAGAACATAAGCATTATCTTGTGGTTTTAGTTGTTTAACATAAGCTCAACACTGAGATAAATTTCTTCATTATGCATTTGGTTAAAGGGGTAAGACCTTTTCTGAAATAAAATGATTAAATTCCATGACAGTTGTATGTACATCTCACCTATGTATGTATTGTGACCTGTGGAAGAGTCAGTAACTGGAGAATATTGTAAGTGGTAAATAAGATATAGTCCATATATGATTTTATATATATATATATGTGTGTGTGTGTGTGTGTATATATATATGTGTGTGTATATATATATATATATATATATATATATATGTATAATCTCCTAAGTAAACATTGCATAGTTTTGTACCATTTTAACAAAGATATTCAGGGACTTCTAATCTTCAAGCTCTTTAAATGTGTACTTAGCCGTATAGTTACATACAAATGAGAAGATGAGCAGCGTTCTCAGTGCCTTACTTCCCTTTGTTAGGCGCCATGTACTCAACCTTCCACTGTTTCAATCATTTTCTTCTCCTACTTAATTGTAATGGTTATTTGGTGTTTGATCCTAAATATATGTACTGAAGAGATTTATTTGCAAGGAATGAAAGTGTGTTTTTATGTGTTTAATGGAAAAGTTTGGATTAATTGAGAAAACATGCATTTTAATGAGGTTGAGCAATAGAGTTTTAAAGATCAGACTCTTCTAGGTTTTAATTACCTACTTGCACTTATCCTGTGTACTGTAATAGAAATTTCAACGTTAGAATCCACTTCGCAGTATCATCTAAATTACTCATCTCATTGTTCTTGCCATACTGTATTAGTAACCTAAGTAATATTTGTAATTATACTGGTATAAATCTAGGACTTCCCATCAGACTTAATTATAATTTCAGCACTTAGCTGTGATGGGTTAGTAACCTTTAATATAGAGGGCATTGGGATGCACTAATGTATTTAGCCTATCAATTAGCTTCTGTTTTACATTTGTTCATTATTATTATCCTTCAGTAAATCAGGAAGCATTTATTAACCTCCTACTAAATACTTGGTACAGTGTGTCAGACTGTGAGCATGAGACCCTGTTCCTCTCAAAGGTCAGTCATCTTAGGTGACATATGACTTAGGTGACATAATGAGTCTTGTAAGGATAGAGGGGAGGAAAGAGACCGTTATTACCCAGGTAATTGATAGGCAGTTTTCATGTGTTCTCATTTATGTCTTTCAATACCTTTTGTTCAAGGGAAGGTCATAGTATTTCTATTAAATTTAGACCATTTGTTTGACTTTTCTGTGGATTTTTAATGGATGTACTTTTTGTCATTGTGCAGTAAAAATTGAGTAAGGGCAAACAAGAAAAAGTGAATGGCTCATGAGTCCACTTCCTGTTTGATAGTGGGAATTCTCACACAGTTGACATTCATATGTAAAATTCTAAATTTTTTGCATTTACTGAACTCATCTTTTTCAACAATAGAAACCATTGGTAATATTTCATATATAATACCTGTTACAAGGATCTATATTTTGTGTTGATAGTTTTAGAAAGGGTTCCTCACATTAAAGTTTGATGCTAGTCTCAGTTCTTTTTCCGTGAGGTTTTGTAAGTTATAGTCTGTGAATATTATTTTTGAAGCTCAAAATTTAAAAATAGGTGATCGGTGAACAGCTTTTCTGTTATGCCTGCTAATGGTATGTGCTCGCGTGTAGTCTTCCTGGAATTGATCTGTGTGATTAAGACATGCTGTCCTTTAGTTTTGTTTTCCTAAAAGCGCTTTTTGTACTGAGAGAGTTAAACCGCATGATATTTCCTTGTATTTAGAAGGACAGTCCAGTAATTTGGTATTTACCATTGCTTTTGAATACAAATAAGATGTAAGGGTTTTATGAAAAGGAAACACTG